TGGTCGCGGAGTCGAGTAATTTGCTCGCCGCCGCGTTAAAGTTTTGCAGCCGCCACCCACGCGAAACGTTCTTGGTGTCTCTGGCCGCTGACTCGGGCTTCGGCGGTGGATTGACAATTTCCGAATTTAGCGATCCGAGGGGCGCAACTTGTTTCAGGTATGCGGACATGGACATTTCGGCTTGCCGGGGAGTATGCTTGGAAAGCAAAAGGGAGACAAAGTCGAGGGCGAACATGGCTTCCATATGGGCCTGGCTGCAGGCGATTAGCGCACGAGATATCCTCCGTATGGGTGAAGCTTACTGGGCGAATTGGGTAATAGCCGCCCGACGCTTATACAGCTGATCTAAACGCTCCGTTGTATCCTCGTCGGCAGATGTGTTATTGTTTTCCTCTTCGTCGGACCATGGATCTTTGTTTTTGTCGGCTTCGATCTTGGCCCGGAGGCTGTCCTCGGTGACATCGCGAAAGGAACCATACTGGGCATTAATCTGAGCAATCTCCACCGGAAGCGGATCTGGACGTTCGCGCTTCTCTTTTAATGGACGAAGAGGAAGGTTAAAGGAATCGGACATGACGCCGGTTGTCACCCTGCTGCGGCAGAGCTTGGATCAGAAAAGACGGAGTACGGAAGATTGACTTTGGAGAGCTGGTGTTGATTAGATTGCCCGCAACGCGGTGAGTCGGTGTCGGCACGTGACCCGGTTTGGTCAATGTAGTCACATTGTTGTGTAGCCCTTGAAGCAGCAATTTTCGTGATAGTATACATCATTTCTAACATTGAAATGTCGTTCTTACTGAACAGTTAAGCTGACATTATAGAATTGTTTGTCATCCGGGTGAGGTAGAAGTAAGCTGCTACCTATGCTCTGTACTATGCCGGAATATATATCGGTTCCTTGTGGTATATACTTCGACAGCACATATGTATTTTACAACGAGATCTGCTCTGCAACCAGCACATATATCGAGAAGCATTTTTAATAATCCTTGCTTCACCTGCTTTACCAGCGTATGCAACCCTTTTTTCTCTTTCCAGGTGGCATAATCGCATGTTTGTTTACTTTACAAAAGTGGCCCAAAGAGGCATAGTTGAAGTGGAGCTCTTGACCGGTAGACAAAACAGCCCCTGAACTATAGAGCCCTCGGGAGAAGAGCTTTAATTGACATTGTTGTGTATAGCGGATCGTTTAAGGGTCAAGTAATCTGCATTGAGACTCAGTATATTAGATGGACTCATCTTACGAGAACTGTATGTTATCTGTGTGTGCCATAAATCACTGATGACTTTCCCCAGTCCAAGAGCGAACGGAGTTGATTGTTGCTTTTCTCACAATTGGGGTAGGCAAGTTGTGTCGACCCATATGGTAAGACTGGATATCCTGACCCCTGTGGCCTGATATCATAAATATGGAGCCATTGAAAGTATTCGCTGGGTCAAGTTTGAAGTAATTGAAGAGAGAAGTAGTGCCTATAGCCAACCAGACCGTAGAACATGAGATGTTCGGATGTTTGATACTCCAAAGGTTCCATTCTGACCGTTAGATGGCGTCACTCTCCACCACGGAGAGCAGTCAGCCGCCACACGTGCTGGCCCAAGCCCTGCCCTAGAGGGGCTATCACGTGATAGCTCCGGACGCTTGTCCCGAACGGGCAATGTCAGTGACATCAGTGACAATAAGTGTGTTTTCCTGACCTGTAGTTCAGACCGTCTCAATCCCTCAGCAACCCGCCGAAACTGCATGAACTGGCAGGAAACACGTGGAGATCAGCAATACAGGAATACTGTCCGCCAGTTTTACCTGCAGGGGGATCCCACAGTCGGTGATATAACACTCGAACTGCTACTGAAATCGACGATCGAGTTTAGTTTCACTTTCTTATCAAGTTCCAGTCAGTGACGTACCATTGCCCACTCCCGCTTTTTCTCACCGGAATTCTTTCCCCCCCCACCGTCACAAAAGTTATCTAAACCTCAACTGTTCCACTATCCATTCAGACCCCCTTTGTTTGTCACTCAGTAGATCGGATCGTTGTACTTACTTCTTATTGTTCACCTATAGTTCTCTAATAGACCATCATCTGCATGATGGCTCCGACACACGCCTCCGCGGAGCCTGCCAAGCGCCGCCGCATCGGTGTCTTGACCTCTGGCGGTGATGCCCCCGGTATGAACGGCGCCGTCCGCGCTGTGGTTCGGATGGCTATCTACTCTGGGTGTGAAGCCTATGCCGTCTACGAAGGTTACGAAGGTCTGGTCTATGGCGGAGATATGATCCGTCAGGTACACTGGGAAGATGTCCGTGGCTGGCTCTCCCGGGGTGGTACCCTGATCGGTTCAGCTCGTAGCATGGCTTTCCGGGAACGTGCCGGTCGCCTGAAGGCCGCTAAGAACATGATTACCCGGGGTATTGATGCCCTGGTAGTTTGCGGTGGTGATGGAAGTCTGACTGGTGCCGACCTCTTCCGTTCCGAATGGCCTGGTTTGCTGGAAGAACTGGTCAAGACGGGCGAATTGACTGAGGAGCAGATTGTCCCTTACAAGGTGTTGAACATAGTTGGCCTGGTGGGCTCGATTGATAACGATATGTCCGGCACAGACGCTACCATCGGCTGTTATTCCTCCCTCACCCGCATCTGTGATGCGGTCGACGACGTTTTCGATACCGCTTATTCCCACCAGAGAGGCTTTGTCATTGAAGTTATGGGACGCCATTGTGGCTGGTTGGCCTTGATGTCGGCTATCAGTACTGGCGCCGACTGGCTCTTCATCCCCGAGATGCCACCCCGCGAGGGCTGGGAGGATGACATGTGCTCTATCATCACTAAGGTAAGTGATCGCGGAATCACAGAATTAGCCGTATCATCTACGTGCTAACTTTATGTCCCACAGAACCGTCAGGAGCGAGGCAAGCGGAGGACGATCGTCATTGTGGCCGAGGGCGCTCATGACCGCCAACTCAACAAGATCACCAGCAGCAAGATTAAGGACATTCTGACCAACCGACTTGATCTGGACACTAGGTGCACCGTCCTGGGTCACACTCAACGTGGAGGAGCAGCATGCGCCTATGACCGTTCCCTCTCGACCCTACAGGGCGTGGAAGCCGTTCGCGCCGTTTTGGATATGACTCCAGACTCTCCGTCCCCAGTCATCACCATCCGCGAGAACAAGTTGCTGCGCACGCCGTTGATGGATGCGGTCAAGGCCACGAAGGAGGTCGCCGACCTTATCCATGAGCGCAAGTTCGAGGAGGCTATGCAGTTGCGCGATTCCGAATTCAAGGAATACCATTTCGCCTACAAGAACACTGCCACCCCCGACCACCCCAAGCTAATCCTCCCAGAAAACAAGGTATGTCATGCGCCAAGCGTGTGTGAAAATCAAGCTAATGTCTTATAGCGGATGCGCATTGCCATTATCCATGTCGGTGCCCCTGCCGGAGGTATGAACCAGGCCACCCGCGCTGCCGTCGCCTACTGCCAGACTCGTGGACACACGGCCCTCGCCGTTCATAACGGTTTCCCCGGCCTCTGCCGGCACCATGCAGACAGCCCCGTTAGCTCTGTGCGCCAGGTTAGTTGGGAGGAGCAGGATACTTGGGTCAACGAAGGTGGTTCAGATATCGGAACCAACCGGAGCCTGCCGTCCGAGGACTTCGAGACCACTGCCATGTGCTTCGAAAAGTTCAAGTTCGATGGTCTGTTTGTGGTTGGTGGTTTCGAGGCTTTCACCGCTGTGAGCCAATTGCGCCAGGCCCGCGACAAATATCCGGCTTTCAAGATCCCCATGGTCGTCTTGCCGGCCACCATCTCGAACAACGTCCCAGGTACCGAATACTCCCTCGGTAGCGACACCTGCCTGAACACTTTGATCGAGTTCTGTGACGCTATCCGTCAGTCCGCGTCGTCCTCCCGCCGCCGTGTGTTCGTCGTCGAAACGCAGGGCGGTAAGTCCGGTTACATCGCCACGAGTGCTGGTCTCGCGGTGGGTGCCTCGGCCGTGTACATCCCGGAGGAAGGCATCGATATCAAGATGCTGGCGCGCGATATCGATTTCCTGCGCAACAACTTCGCCCACGACAAGGGTGCCAACCGCGCCGGAAAGATCATTCTTCGCAACGAGACCGCTTCCAGCACCTACACCACACAGGTCATCGCCGACATGATCAAGGAAGAAGCTAAGGGCCGCTTCGAGTCGCGTGCGGCGGTCCCCGGTCACTTCCAGCAGGGTGGCAAGCCCTCTCCGATGGACCGAATCCGCGCCCTGCGCCTGGCCATCCGATGCATGCAGCACATCGAAGGCTTCTCTGGCAAGTCCGCCGAGGAGATTGCCGCCGACGAGCTTTCTGCGACCGTCATCGGTGTCAAGGGATCCCAGGTGCTCTTCTCCCCGATGGGCGGTGCCAACGGCTTGGAGGCGACCGAGACCGACTGGGCCCGCCGTCGCCCCAAGCACGAATTTTGGCTTGAGTTGCAGGACACCGTCAACATTCTGGCCGGTCGCACCAGTTTCGGCGAGGGCAAGTCCAGCTGGTCTTGCTACGAAAACTGTTAAACGTGGGAATAAGAACAAGAACTTGCACAGTTAAAGGCGTTAATGAGTTGGGTGGTTAGAATCCATGGCTGGTGGGAAGACTAATCGTTTTCCCTCTTACATACCTGGCCAGAAAGAACAAAACGAAACTTGAGATGTAGTGATGGCTGCTACGTATGTATCATGACAAACAGGAATATTGAATGAAAATTATGATCTCCCTTATTCAAATCGCTCCTCATAGCTGTACGCATTAATAAACATCGTATCTGAACCTATATGGTGTAATTCATGTAATGTATATCCACCAGATCATGCAACCCCCTAGACAAACCTAGATTCGCTCAATGAACCCGAAACCAACAAACAGTAACAACAAACCTAATAAATCGTAATGCTTATAAATCAAAAATCCGAGAAGAATGGAACAAAAAACGAGAAAATATGCAATGAATGAAGACAGATTATTTCTCAAGGATCGCCAACTCATCCAAAAGCTGGACTGTTTCAGCCGGACTAGCGATCCAGGCTGTTGTCGAAGCCAATCGTGCCTAAGATAAACACATGAGTATAGATGCAATGCAGCTTGTCAGTGTTGTTAACGAACCTTAAAATCATTGGCGCCCGCCGATAAGAACTGGTCGCCAATGTGGAGAGTACGTGACCGGTCAATACCGCCGAAATACTGCTGACAGGCGCGTACACCCCAGGATTTATCGCCGATGTCTACAAAGACGTCGTTTCCACCTTTTCCATTATTGTCAGCCAGGTCTGCAGTGAAGGAGGAGTAAAACTGGGGATGTACGGGAGTAGAAGGGGAACATACCGTTGAACGCGCAGAAGGGCAGTCTAGTGCCGACGACCGATCGCTCGACAGTGTTTTGGACAACCAGGACCGTCTCCTCCCATTGTTCTCGGGTAACCTTCGTCCGATCGAGGGGATACACGCCCACGGCACGATCTTTTCTCAGCACGGCGACGGGGAGGTTCAGATTCTTGGCGCAAGCGCGCAGCGAGGATTCAGCGATGTCCAGAAGCTGCGTGATATCCGAGTCCTGCCATGAGTGCATCTCCTCAAGCAACCATTGTTCACGGGGAACGTAGGCAAGCTTATCGGGGGAGGTGTGGTCGTAGCGGAAGAGGAAGTTGCTTTCACCGCCCATGACTACAAGACCGTCGCGGTTGGCCGGGGTGAGGACGTCTGAGTTGTGGACGGCGTCGAGCAGACCCTTCAGACGTTCGTAATATTTGGGTGCTTCGGTGTAGCCAGCGGCCGTGACGATGCCGATTTTGCGGCCTTGCTGGAGGAGACGGATGAGGCGGGGTATGACGGGGTTGTCGTCGGTGAGGCAAGCGCCGTCATCGTAAAGGGTGACATCTCCGTCGAAGGTCACCAGATCGAGGCCGGAGGTGCGAAAGAGGCCCAGGAGCTGCGCCGAGTTGAGGATGAGGCGGATGTCATTGAAGGACGGGGCAACAAAGCGACGCCGGCTGATGAAGCGTTGACTGTCCTGGTACTTGAAGGCGTCTTCGAGGGGGAGGGGTGTGAAGAAGGAGCCAACGGTTGGCACTAGGAGATTGAGCTTCGATTTACCGGGCGCTCCCGTTGCTTGATGGTGGACTGGATTATCTTGAGTCAGTACGGGCTAATCGGGCAGATACTGTGCTGTGACTGAGTCAAGGGAGGAGAGGAGTACTATGATCGCGCATGAGGTTCTCAACATCCCGGAAGATCTCCGCATAGCGTTGATGGGTATCGGCCGCAATGGCGACGAGGTTCTCGCCGTGCTCCTGGTAGACAGCAGTAGGCTGCGAATGCAGGACGAATGGAACCGCCAGAAGGCCCTTGACCCATTCTATCAACTGGTCGCGACGATGCGACTGGCCGAGTTAGCGTCATGGACCGCGGAGCCGGTGTGCGTCATACCTTAAGAGCATCAGTAGGATTCGTCAGCGAAGCGTTCACAGATTCCAATGGGGTTCCAGCCGATACTCACATTCAACGCGGTACCGGGTCGTCATGATTATAAGGTGTTATTGGACTAATAGCGACTGAATGGGGAGCTGTTGAGTGTGGAGATGAAAGGATGAGGAGAAGGTCAAGACGTCCAGGGAGATTGTTTGCTCTTCCCCACATCTGGTTTAGCTTCGGTATTTATAGTGGCGGTCATGTGGCCAGATTGTGTCGTGACGCGGAGATAAGATCTATCAAATCAGATCCCTCAATGCCAACTTCCTTCATTCTTGCTATTCTCTGGGACTGTCGGTGTGACAGGAATAACATGTCGGGCTTCCAAGCTGGTAGCGATTCTGAACGAGTCAATGTCACCAACAGCATGGAATAAATCTGACTGGTTACGGGTGTGATGTATGTGCTCAGTACGTGGCCTTTTAAATAAAACCACAACCATTCGGAGTCTTTTTCGCCTGTGAACGTTGAATGCTGTCTCACGAAACAGCTGTGGACCATCGAAGTCCAAGGCCTTATTCAATCGCTCTAGACGTGCCCCATAATGCAAGGGGGCCGGAACTGATGGTCTATCTGGTCCCAATCGCTATCCGCTGCAGATCTGGTGGATCTGGACCATGAGACCATGGCGGCCGACCAGCGGCATATTCAGTTCTGACCATGGCTTAGTGCCGGAAAGACATTGGCCAAAATGAGCAGCACACTTGATATAGTGGTTTCTATAGCTGGTGGCTATCCGTCCCCGTTAAGTGCATCGAACTCAGTCGTCGCTCAGACCTAAAGATTTTTAGATCGGATGGATCCGAACAGGTTTCTCGTCGGTTTGAAGTCCGGCGTATATGGCGAGGCCAAGGAAAAGAGGTCCAAACACTCCTTGCATAACTGCTAGGACCCAGGCACGAGAAGAACAATTCACTTCAGACGAAGGGGTACTTACCGGAATTGGCAAAGCTATGCTCAATGTAATTGTTCACCATCCAAAAGACAAAGCATGAATGGGAAGGAATGAGTATAGAAGGTTGTCGTGAAAACCCACCTTGTAGTTAGGTCCCAGAAGGTCTGCGACATTATTACCTACTAGTAATCACCTCGTACTAGTATCTCGTAAATCACGAGAAGCTTATCAGGCACCCCTGTCCCTCTCTCCATTCCACCAATAACGACAGCCGTCAGCCACAAAGCGTCCAATGACCCAACAAAGCCCTCAAAACAATCACCTCACCGTACTCGGTAGTTAGTTACGCAAAATAATTGTAGCCTGAGTCACCCCGATGACCTCCTCGTACCTCGGCCTTAGTCCCAGAATCTAGAACCCCCAACCACAACAGTCCAATAAATATAAATTAAAAGCCTCGCAGATCCCTGACTCACGCGCAACGCTCCATTAAACAACACCATTAAAATCACTGCCTAGTCGATCCTGATGAGGTCATCGCCGTTCTAGAACGAGCGGAGCAGGGGGGCCAGGGCGGCTCAGCCGCGCTGTCAAGACCAACTAAGCTTCATGATTGCCCTTTTCGGGGGACAGATTGGGTATAGACAGTATGGGACGTGGTTGTGACGAGGTAGTATTGGGGCTTTAGGGAGATATGGATGTCGTAGATTTCGTGGATGCCTGGAATGATTCACACGTCATGTTGTGATACGCTGATGTGGCTGTGGGTATAAATTTGGTGAGCGTGGGAGGGTGTTTGTGTGTAGTGTCAATCTTGGATAATCATTTTGAATTCTACATTCTGCGTGGATGTTGCATAGAAGAATAATAATAATTACTTCTGTATACTGCACTGCCATAAACTAAACTAACAACCCTATCGCAAAATGGACCCACCACCCTACACCCCAAGCGCCAACTCCTCCGAAACCTCATCGACAATCACCCCGCGAAACCTCGCCCCAGAGACCCTCCTCACTCGCGGTTTGCAAATCCCCTCCAAATCCGCCTATCCGACCTCAGGCTTCACATACCCGCCCCTCCTCGCCCAGTACGACATCTCACCCGCCGACTGGGAAAGGTTCACATCGGAGGTTACGACCACCGCACGGATGAGCCGCAAACAATGGACCACGGCCATCGGGAAGGGCCTCGGCGTGATGGCTATCGGCGGGCTCATGGTCGGGTTTCTGGGGGCCATACCGGCGTATTATGTGGCCCGACGGGCGCAGCGGAGTCGGGAGGAGAAGAATATGATTCTTGGGAGCCAGGAGCTGAGGGCTGTGATTGAGCGGTGGAATGGGGAGGTCTTTCAGCCGAGGGGGGTGCTGATTAGGGTTGATTTGCCGTTTGAGGAGGTGGAGGAGATGGAGATGATGGATGTTTTGGATCGGAGACGGGGTGGGTTTGGGCTGGGGAGTGGGCAGAGGGTGAGGGAGGATGCGGCGAGGAAGGCGAGGATTGTGATTATTCCTTTGCCTGGGAAGTTGGGGTAGATGGTTTTGGCTTTGGGGGTTTATTTATCTTCTTATGTATGTAATGTGTGATGATGGGTGTTATGAGGAATGAAGTATTGTTCTTATAATTTATTGTATTCTTAGCTTCGTAAGTAAGCCTGGTCAGTTCGTTGGCCCGAGGTATTATATCCGTTTCGCATATGGTAGCTCATCTCAATGTACATACAACATAATGGGGGAATATCATCATCATAGCCCATCTACACCCTCGTCGCGTTGTCCCTGTCGCCCACGTTCTCGACGTGGCTGGACTGCTCCGCGATCTGCGCCTTATCCGACATGATCATGTCGCGCTGCTCGGCATCCCGGGCACCGTACAGACCGATCTTGTACCACGGCAGCTCGAACAGCCGGTCAATGGTCTCCAGGCTGCGGCCGGCCGTCTCGGGGACGGTGAACAGGACCCAGAACCAGCCGATGATGGTCACCGCTGCGAAGAACCAGAAGGTACCCATCGGGGAAATACCGCCGTGGTCGGTGCCGAGGAGCATGTTCGGCACCGCACGCGAGTTACCGTACTGGTTGACAAAGTGCAGGGTCATGGCCAGGGAAGTGGCGAGGGCACGGATGCGCAGGGGGAACAGCTCCGCGGTGAGGAGATACTGCATGGAGTTCCAGCCGAGGGCCCAGCCGAATCCAGAGATGTAGATCATCGCGATCGCGCCTCGGCTGGGGCCCAGCTTGTCTGCCGGGAGCTCGAAGTCGTCCACGACGCCCATCTCCGGGACACTGGTGAGGAAGCCGGCCACGTAGATCATGGAGATCGCCTGGAATGTGATACCGATAAGCAGCGAGCGCTTGCGGCCAATGACATCTACCAGGAACAGCGCGCAAATGATGGCGGCAACCAACTTGACGATACCGAAGATACCGGTGACCAGGAGTGATTCGTTCGACCCGGTGATGCCGAGCAAGGCGAACAGGTCGGGCGCATACAGGGTGATCGAACCGGCACCGGACCACTGGGACAGGAGCTGGGCCATCAGGGCGAGGTACAGACGGTACAGGTTGCTGGGAACCAGGAAGGCCTCCTTGATCACTCCCATAGGACCGGATCCCATCGTAGCTTCCATCTCAGCCTCGTGCGAGTTCCGGATGGCAGTCATCTCCTCGACAACGTACTCGTGGTCCTCTGGGAGATTTCTGACGCGCGACAAGTTCTTCAGAGCCGCCTCATACTTTCCTTTCTTGACCAGGTAGCGAGGGGACTCATACTGGGTGAAGGAAAGGAGGAAGATCAGTCCGGCGAAGATGATGTGCAGACTGGTGGGCACTTCCTATTGAAGAGTTAGGGAAACAAGCGACCGCTGTGAAGGATCTAATGTACTAACCCAACGCTTGTGTGTGTTATCTCCGAGGTTCACCTGGCAGCCATAGTTGGTGAAGTAGGCAAGGACGATACCGAGGTAGACAAAGCCAGTGAAGACACAGGTACAGAGACCACGGACCGATGCGGGGGCCTATGATAGTGAGTGGATGATATCTTCATGGAGGACTATGCTTCACTTACGATTTCCGCAAGATACACAGGACCGACCACAACGGTTTGACCGACACCCAGGCCAGCAACGAAGCGGCCAGCATAGATAGCACCCAGGTTGCCGTTCGCTCCCATGAAGATAGCAATACCGACGATCCACAGGACACAGAGCTGGCGGGTAGCCCAGAGACGGCCGATGCGATCGCAAACCAAGAAGGCACTGTGAAACAAAGAGTTAGTTACCGAGGCAAGGAGGGCATCGCCACGGCTATGGTTAGCCTTACAAGAGAGCACCGCCGACGGAGCCAATCTGGACCATAGCAGAGACATTGGCCTTGATATTGGTCTGCTCGACCTTACTGTACGAATCATAGTTGATGGTTCTTTGGAAATCCTTGGAGTTGAAGGCGCCGGAGATCAAGCCCTCATCGACACCTCGCGCCGCGCCCATGAGCCCGAACGAGACGACGGCGAGCCATAGTCTCCAGTTGTAGACCTGTTTGGGATCGCCCAGGTTTTTGAGCTGAAAGATATTGACGGGTTTCTTTGCGCCCGCCATTGTGGTAAAAGAAAGACTTGCGTGGACTTCGGTACCGATCTGGCTCTGAGAGTCAAGGAAGGAGACCGAGCACACAAGTGATAAAGAGAAGAGGGGTCACAATGCAATGGTGACACGGACAGGGAGGCCGGGTGACCAGTTTCTTATATCCCCCAGACGATCCCACGCATTAGAGAGTCCTTCTCACATGGTGGTGACATCGAACAATGCGGGGGGAATGATACAAAGCGTGGGGAGATTCATCGGAATAACCGACCATTTACCCAAAAGCCAACCTCATAGACTCTCAACCCTAAAGCTAAAGCAAACAAGTTTGATGCTTTCACCCCAACAGGAAACTCTGTCCGGTGGGTCTGCATTGGCCAAGAGCTGGATATCGCCAAGGGTGCTTAAGGCCGGGGTGCATGGAGGGCACGAGCCTTGGGTGTGTCGTCCATCGGTCAGGTTCCGAAGTCTCGCGTAGAGCTTATTAGCTCTTAACTCCTGCTCGGCGTCGTTCTTGTTGCGTATCAAGTCCTCCTGCTTCAGCCACAAAGCACACGAAAAAAAAGGTTGAAACTAAGATCGAAACAAAGAACGCGTAGAAAAAGTCTGAATTTGACCAGGGACCTCCCGTCTGATGCATCATCCTCGTACTATCCGCTGCAGCCTCCTACTTGCAGTACATATCCCTGCCATGAACAACTAATCGCATGGGCCCAGTTGTTCCACGGCCGAAAAAAATTGGATCTTTCCCCGGGTATCGGATCTGGATCACATCTAGTCTAATCCAGCGGGGCAATTGTCGGTAAATGCTGGATATGGGACGATTCGGTCAACGTCCGAAAGGCATCTGGCGTCACCCGGGGCCAAAACGCGAGAAAATTCTCCGGCCGGACCGCTTGGCAGACCTGGGGAAATGGAGGCCACCACGAGTCTACCGGACGTCACGAGGAATGCGGGATGTAGCGTAGCAGGTGGAGATCTGGAGGAGCATGTTTGACCTTTCCTGACTGGTGACCGAGGCATTAAAAGCGAGCGGCTTGAGTGGCTCTCCAGCACAGACTCACTGTCGATCCACATGTGGTGGGCAAAATTTCTTTGGCTCTTTCTGGGGAAAGTGGAGCTAAAGAACCCTAACTTAGAAGCTAATCACGAGAAATGTAACGTATCCGACAAATAAATGGGAAAAAATTTGTAATGCATCCCCACCCTTATTGAAAAAACAACAGACGCGAGGGTTGTGTGGGCTAGCCCAGTCTATACTCATTAAAAATGGGTGTTCGCTTCCAGGTCCCTCCTCGCGAAGGATTCATAGTCCTGCCCAGCCTTCCTCGGCCTATCCAGTCGTTTCGCAGACGTCTCAGCGCTAGCCATCTGGGCCGGACTCTGACCGACATGGCCGATTACGGCATAATAGCCAACGGGCCAAGAAGACACTGGGGAATCCACAGGAACGCAAACGCCGACGGACGGGTGAGATCCGACGACGCGATGGGGAAGCCGTGGCACTGATAGGCAATTGACAGGAGGTCAAACAGTCAATGAGCGCGAAAACTTTTGTCATTTGTTGGGAGGCGCTGCATCGGTTTGTCTCCGAGTAGGGCTTCGGCGAGACCGTGACCTGTCGCGTCGCGATGTCCAACTACCAGGAGTAGTAAACACACATTAGCACCCATGGCTATTCGGACCTGCCCACAAGGATTATATGGACTGTCCGGCGTTTCATTGGAGGATCTTACGTCTGCTCGGGAAGTTTCTGCGTAAACGCTTCCCGTGTTTACGTCGGATCAAGCTCCGATTGACGGCAACAAGGCCACAAGTTCAACCTGGCCACGATTCTAGAATTAAAATATACAGACTAATCAATAAACACATGCCATGCATCCCTTTCCGGACATCATGCAGGCCATGACAGGGTCTATGCATGCATCGTTACATAAATGGAATCTGACTCCCATAGGAGACGCAAAGGAAATGGCCAAAATAAAATCCCCCTGTCCGCGACTCTATGTCCGCCACCGGAAGGCCGGGTTGCGCCAGTCTAGATTCTGGATCTGTCTCTGCGACATGCCCCGCAGAGCTTGGTCAATGTCCACCTTCTCTCGCCTGTTGTTATCCCATTTCATCCACATCCAAAGACAGGCCCCGAGGATGATGATTAACGATGATGTGGCCAGGTTGAGGCCATTTCCAATATGATAATTTGGCGCATCGAATGGTAAAAATGACCAGGTCGAAATCAAGCCGCCCAAGTTGCCAAACATGACGGTCGTTCCAATCGCCGACGATCGCGCCGTATCCGAGACTACATTGTTCGAAACGTGAGCATTGCAGAGGGCGCCAAATGCGAACGCGCCGGATGCGATCAGGAAGGTAGCACCATAGCGCACCATGGCCTCGGTGCTGGCCAAGAACATGATATATCCGATGACCATGAGGGGTGGTGCGACTACGAAAAACACCATGCGGTTGTCCCAGCGCCAGCTGAGGAAGGGGAACAGGACAGTGAAGAATGCGCCCACCACGTAGGGGGGAACCGTGTGCAACTGCTGTGAAACAACACTGTCGTTCGGGTAAATGGTCCGGACAATGGTCGGGGCGAAGAACGCCAATCCCTGGACGGTGATGTTATTGAGCAAAAAGATAAACGACGTTGCCAGTGTGACTGGGCTAAAGATGCCGAGCATCGTTTTGGTGCGATCCATCTTGTCGAGCACCTCCGTGGTCGAGACACGCTCCGCCTTCAATCGGGCAATGGCAAGGTCCTTCTCCTCCTGTGTCAACCAGCGCGCAGTCTCCGGTCGGTCCGTTAGAGTCACAAAGGCTATGAGGCCGAGTCCGATCGTGATGATGCCCTCGATCGCGAAGATCATGCGCCAGGTGTGCAGGCTGCCGAAATGGTCGAGGGTTAAGATTGCCGACGCTAACAGGCCACCAAAAGCACCAGCAAGCGGCGCC